AAGGGGGGGGAAAATTGGGGTCCAAAATTTTTTCCCCGGCCCCCACCCCCCAAACCTTTTGGGGCCATTTCGGGAAAACCAAAACCCCCCCCCCCCAATTCAAAGGGGCCACCCCCCCCCCCCCCTCACTTGGCAGTCTCCACCCTCCCCTCCGTCCGCGCCGTTGCGCTGTCGAACATCCCCTTGTCAATCACCATGTCAAAGCTTTGCGACGGGAATTCCGCCGCATCCCGCGCGTCCGAGCGGATGAACTCGCACCCCGGGTACAGCGCGCGCATGCTGTCCATCACCCCCTGATACATGCCGCAGGCCGATCGACACCGCAGGATTAAATGAACGCCACCAGAGGCACCGAGGGGGGGGCGGGAGGGAGCGAAAGGGGAGAATCAGATACATTCAGGCTTACAAAAATGACGCGTGTGGGTTGGTACTGGCTTTATGTGCGGGGGGGGGTGTTGCCAATCGTCAGACGTGGCGGTGCACAGAGGTTTGCAAAGACGCACGACATGACCAGTGTGCCCTGCTCTGCCCCTTCGTTCATTTGTTTCGGTTCCTCGATCGAGAAAACATGCGCCCTTGTTTCTCTCGACCACGGCAAAAACGAACTAGCTGGGTATGTACGCGAAAAGTGCCATGAAGATGAGCCGACATCACCACACCCACCTCGCTGAAGTCCGCATTGACGACGTCGCAGTCATGCTCTCGCTGCAGCACTACGCCGACGGTCGAAGATCCGCACCCCGAGTGAAGAATCCGGGGGCGCTTCCTGGAAACCTGCCCCCGACCCGCGTCCTCCCATGGACCACCGTTGCTGCCGCCACCGCTGGCCAATTGGCTTGTCGCGAAGCGCAGCAGCTGCGCGGTCAGCTCGGCATGCACACACAGTACCTGGTCGGTGGAATGGAGAAGGCAAAGGCATGGCGGCGCGGGGGGGGTATCTGCGTGCCACACGATTTGCGGTGCCCCTGGAACGCCACGATACTGCAATCTCCGACGCCACAACAGCTGCTGCTGCGGCGAGGACCGGCGTTCCTCATACGACAGCTCGTACGCAAGCATATCGAAACTCCTACAGCAGCAGATCGCCGAGACTCGGACCCCCGACCTTGCCGGAAGAGCATGTCGAAAACGGGGGTACACACGGCCGACCTCGGATCTTGCTCCTACCTGAACTCACCAAAGATCCGGGGGCATACCGATATTTTCCTCTGTTAGCATTGCGCGACGCAGCATGCGGGGAATTGCCCCAAAAGGACACTATACTGGACACTTTGTACGTCAAACAATATAATTCTGAGATGGCCCCGGGGGCTACGATTGAGTATGCCGGAGTGCGTGCGGAGAGTAGCTCAAGCCCGCTCGACCCCCAGATTTTTCTCGCTTGCTTGGTGTAGATGAGCGTACATCGTCTACAGTACTGCTGCAAGTCCGCAGCAGGCAGAACAAGGTGCGGCGGAACAAAAATAGAGCTGGTGGCCTCAAATGTCTGATACACGTCTACACTTCAGCAGCAGTTTTAATTGTTCACACACACACACAGAGAGAGAGAGAGAGAGAGAGAGAGAGAGAGAGAGAGAGAGAGAGAGAGAGAGCCAACGTCTATAGCGAGAGAGAGCGCGAAACGCCACGAGCATGGACTTACCTCGCGAACGACGACATCGACCGGCAGATACCACTCCGTGTGCTCCTGCTCTCGCGAGGTTGTTCGTGCAGTTGTGCAGTTTGGTCGAAGAACATAGACGAGACGGACGAAGGGTCCGGTCAAGATGGAATTTGTGGTGTGGAACGTTCAAGCAGCACACAGCAGTGTGTCCCCCATAGCCGCGGGCCTATGAAGCGCACTACCAGAGGTAGAATCGTGTTTCGTGGATGACACATACGGCGTGCCCTCGTTGCCGTATCTGTCTTTCCTACATACGTAGGAATCGCTTGCTCTTTCAGCAACCCGACCATACTCTACACACGCTCTTGAAGGTGGGAGCATGCTACGGTTTCTGGCTCACCCTCCTATGGAAACTGTCCCAGAACTCCACGGTGCCTAGCGCAGTCATGGTAGACCCCTCCCTCTCGTGGAATTGAATGTGATGCGTGTGGTCGTGGTCACGTTTTAGCGGGACAACCCCGCGCGTGCCTGTCTCTTATGTATGCCCGAAACGAAATATGAACCTGAGCGCCCCCCCCCGCCCCCTTCCAACTGCCCACTGCGTTCCCCCGGAAACAACAAATAAATATCGTAACACAACAACAGAGGTTTGAAGGTATACAACATCCACACGTACAACACTGAACGACTACCCGTTCGAGAAAATGTCCTAGTCGAAGGGGCGTGTTAAAGTCTTTGCAGTAGGTGCCTCTTGCAGCATCGGGATCGAAAATTAGTTTGTTTTTGTTGCAACAAAATAACCTTCCTTCTAGAAAAAAAATAAAAAATAAATAACCTTCTAAAAAAACACACAAACGGGACGAACGACGAAGAGCAGCACTGGTATTTACATGCCCTCGGCTACATGCATGCGTGCCCGATCGTGACGAGGACGCGATTGTCATTGCCCTTAGATTCCAGGACAAACGTATCCATTCGTTTTGAGGTTGTGATGTTCAACTTTCTTTCCCTGAAAAAGCTCCCGTCTCCATCCAATACCTTTTTTACTGCGTTCCTTTCCGCCTAAAGTGTCGTCCATGAACACTTCACAGAAGAACAAAGACGAACAACATACAGTACTTCTACCCGAACACAAAAAAAAATGCACAAAAAGCCCGCTAGAAACAGACGTGGTGGCGCATCCATTCTGAATGTAACCAGAAAACATACTTTTAGAAGCAGCACAACAAGCCCGACGACTCCCAGCGCAAGAACAAAGTGAAAAACAGCTAAGTCTAGTCTACCAAATGCAGGGGACACAAACAAACCGGAGGGAGGGGGGCTAAGGTTCAAAGGGGACAAACCAGCAAACAAGAATCAGTTACGTACGGCCGTACTTTAGAGACCAGCCCATTGCCACGTCATCACCAATAATGCCCAATTTCAGAAATCAGCGTAGGTTTCTAACTGCCAAAGGCTAACCGAGCAACATGGCCCCAAGAAATCGGCAAACAAGTACGTAGGTAACGTTTTGGTGCCTCCGTGTGGCACGTACTCATGCTACGGTAGAAAAATATACGTTGCACGCCGACTGCAAATCTCACGTTTCCTCTACTGCCCCTGCATCTATACTCACCTGGAAATAGCGCCTACCCTGCGACGTTGGAAGGCCCGTAGCACCGATGGCAATTAATAAACTACAGAGGGAAACAACTACAACGGCGTGGACGAGCATCTACTAGAAGACCCTCCGAAAACGTTTGTAATGCTGCGAGGCACAAATTTACGTTGAAACCAGTCTGCACGGTGTCCTGAAAAATAGAGGCGCTCCTGCCGCACTGATGAATGTCATCATTTGCAACAGCACTCCGGTCCCTCTGGTCCACCAGGTAAACAAAGTGGTCGTACACTAACGAAGGCAAGGCGCTTTATTACTCAAGCCGGCGTCCGGTACCTACGCTATGACGATCTAGCACGTTACTGGACGCCGGCTACGATAAAAAAGCGCCTTCTATTCGCAAATGCGCGTCAGTTTACTTCGTGGACTAGGTTTCTGGTGAACAACCTCACCAACAGATACTACATCGGCAACCTGAGCAAATGCTTTGAACAAAAGTCGCTAGCAACAGCAGTGAGATAATTTCACCACGCACAAGCTGCAAGGTCAAAACCACGTCGCCATCATCACAACTTATTACATGCACAGCAGCAGCAGCAGCAGCAGCAGCAGCAGCAACAACATGCCGCGTCGTCTCTGCGGAGGCCCAAAATATACCCTTCGTTGCTCGGGCCGCTCTTAGAGGACCCCCGAACGCAGACTAACACATCGAGAAAAGGCTGCCTCTCCGTATCTATTCCCCCAAGTTTCGGCCTTCGGCGCCGCACCCCAACGCGATTCTACCACTATCACCATGGGCTAAATACCACCACGAAGAGCGCAGTCAAGAGCGCAGAAGAATTTTACGATACCCGCCGGAAGTACACGATTTCCGGCCCGTTGCCGACGTTGCTAGCCTTACGTTCTCGCACGCGAACGTCGGACAGCGGGCCCACCACTCCGCAGATTGGTTCCTGCCGGAATATCCCCCCGTTCGGTGGTGGGGGGAAGCCTGCATCGTGCGGGAAATTCAGCAGAAACCCGTGGTTGATGTCGAAAACGTCGAGGTAGTACTGGAGCTGGTGGACAGCGTTGAGGTTGGTGCCCTTGGTGAGTGTCGAGACGGCCTTCATCTCGACGATCGCCGTGGAGCCGTCGCGAAGGGTGAGCAGCAGGTCAACCCGCCTGGAAGAGATGTCGATATCTCTGTAGGTGATGGAGATCTTGACTTCCTGCTGGACGGCTACCCCTCGGTCCTCGAGCTCGATCTTGAGGGCCATCTGGTAGGCGCTCTCCGTCTGCTGCCGCCCGAGGGCCGCGAACACAGTCCGGCACATGCCTTCCAGCTGCTGCTTCAGCTCGGCGATGGTCTCTATCTTCCTGCCAGGAGTACTGCTGCGGTCGTCGACGACTTGTAAGGCGATGACCCTCCTTGTTAGCTCGTCACATGCTGCTTCTTCCTGCTGGTGCGCTTCTCTTCGTGGCGCGGTCGCCTTCGTTGGGAGCCTCTGGGCGGTGGTCGACGTTCTCGGCTCAAGGCCTGCTGTAACCCTGCCCCTCGACAACCCAACAAGATCGGCCGCGGACTGCGGGTGACGGGCTTCGTCCTGTTCAAGCACTGCAGCTGTTGCTGTTGCTGCGGCGGCGCCCCTCGTGCCTCTGTACGCCATTTAGACCTGGGGCCGGAGAGTTGCGGTAGATCTAGGGGTCAAGAGCAACGGGATTCTATCGTAGCCAGACGTATTACGGTGAGCAACCAACGTGCCTATATCCCCTTGCTGACCGTCAAGGGAGTACTGGTGTTCATGTATACGCATGTGGGGCATAACATTTGGATGTTGGGATGTTTCGAATACCTTTCCCTGGCATCATTTTCCCTTTTCTGGCGCTTGTGTCTGATGGGCACGCCAGGGGGTCCGTCGGTACATTTCACACATGCCTGGAGCTCGCCAGGTACTGACGTACATCCGTGGGACGTGTGTTTGATGCCCAAAGTCGTGGGGACTGGTTGTATTTCCTGGGGACGTGTTCCGAGAACGAAACGCCGGACGAACCAATGTTGAAACCCAATTAAGGTGCCGATTTCGCAAGAAACGGTTGCACGTTCGTTTCAAACATACTTGTCGCTCGCCGTCAACGACAACAAAATTCAAATAAAGCTGATCACGTACACTCACAACCCTCGCTTTTGCGTAGAATAATCGGACTCAAAGTCAATTCCTATTCCTCAACACGGAGGTTTGCAACAGATACCAAAGAAGCATAACGAGCAAAACAAAACGTACAGTGTGATAACGAGCAAAACAAAACGTACAGTGTGCCAAGCGCTTTCACCCGCACAATAGCAAGCACCCGCACTGTTCAATTTATCAACTATCTCTTGAACAATTAAACCTGTGTGCCAGCCAACTTTACCTACTGGTCTGAGCACATGCACCCGCACCTCTACGTAGCATGCAGGCGTCCTGCGCTCTCGTGAATTCATTTTATTTCGGCGTGCGCGTTTAAACCGATTCCTATCGTTCTTTCCGCTACCGCACGGCAAGAATGTAGCGGGCACGAACCGAGAGTCTTGCGCCATGCGACGCGCCGTGTCGGGAGGTACTGGTGTTGGAAAGTCGCTGGAAATCAAGGATTTGGTTCTCTCGGAGGTTTTGAACTGTTCTGTTCTTTGTTTTTTTTTTCTCTCGTCCGCGTCACGACTTCACGACCAGTTGGCCGTTAGTTGACACGAACGAAGGGAAAGGCCTCACCACGTCACACCACCACAGCCACCTCGCCTACAATCCTCAGCAGTGTCTACCTTCGACATGTCATCCGTTCTGGACAACTCCCCGGCCAGAAAGATGGGTCGATACCAGCAGGCGGACGCCTCGGCCTCGTCTCCCGGAGCACAGGCATCACAGTGCAACGTTGTCGTCGAGCTGACTGACATCGACTGCACAGACGCGACGAGTGAAAGACGGGCAAGTAGCTGCTCAAGAAGCAGGAGGAATCCGGCAACAGGTGGTTCGAGTGCAACGACCCGGTTGCATTGCCTCGGCCAGCCTGCTGTACACCCCGACAAAGTACAGCAAGAGCGGCGGCCAGGGCAAATGGCTGAGCCGGTCCTGCTTTCAGCCCGTCGAAACGAGACTCCGTCCGTGGGTAAGTGCGTGTAGACAAGGACAAGAAAAGCAGGCGTTCATTTTTGTAGCAGTGTGTGTCTAGAGCAGTGTGTGTCTCTCGCTAGCGTGTGGCTTATCCTTAGAGGTATGTGTTTCTGGCTACTGTGTGGCGGCTTTTCGTTGCGGTTAGTACAGACCACGTCGCCCAGCCGGCCCTACCAGAGAGGGGGAGGTATCGCGTGTGTGTTCGACGAGAAAGCAGGCTATATAACTGTATTTGTGTATCCCCGGGTGGTGACAACACTGGGTTTCTGGACAAGCTCAATGGTACATGGTCCTGCAGATAGTGTTCAATAGTCGTGCAGCTTTACGTGTATTGCGCTCTACACCGCTCTTTTTTGCAGTACAACGCTGCAAAAAAAGCTGCATTTCGGCAACATTTCTTGCAGCTTTGCTAATGTACGCTCAGTATGGGAGCAAAAAATTGCCCGAAAAGTTCTGCAGCTTTTTTTCCGGAGCGAAAAGCTGCAATCTGGCCGAAAAGTTTTGCAGCTTTTCTCGAGTCGGGAAGGGGCGAGACAAGCTGCACGGCGGAAACTATACCGGTTCACGTCAAGCTGCTACCCCTACCGCACACGTAGACCCTCTCCAGCATCGATTGTGGGAAGGCTGTGATCACCGATATCTCGACGAATACTTAACGAGTTGCCTCATGAATGGTACCCGGAAGGAGGTGATGCCATGGGCTGTTGGGCAATGCCAAGGTTTGGGGCCGTGAGGTATCGAATGCGCCGGGAAAAAAAAAGTCTGTGCTGTGCACAACCGTCAACGGCCGCGAGCGGTTAGTTCAAGCTCGATGTGTTTGACCGCCACGGGTTTGGTTATCCACCGAAAACTTTCCGAAGGAGGACGCAACACCAATAGCAAGGCCGCTTGGTGGGAGGTAGCTCTCTGCTCTATCTTTCGTGCCCAAGGTTTGGTGCCGTGGCGTATCGTGCGCATCGGGGAAAAAGTTTGGATCGACCCCAAAGTACCCACGTCAGAAAGCAGTTGGTTCAAGTTCACAGGGATTGTGTGCGCATGGTTTGTTTTTCCAGTGATAACTGTTCGAAGGAGAAGGCAACAGCAACAGCAATGCCACCCCGAGGGAGCTACCTCTACCCAGCATCTTTGTGGTACCAGGTTAGATGCCTTGGGGTATCGTGAGTGTGGAGAAAAAAGGCTGCAACTACCCTCTTCCGCACGCTTTGACCGGTTCTTTCGCGGTGCAATATGAAAGGCGCGTGCCTTCTTCCTTCTCCAAAAAAAAAAAATACATATATATATATCACGCCTCCGCATTCCGCCAGTCCCGTGCACAAAACTTTCTTCGTCCCATAAAGAGGGTGGGTCAAAAGTTCCGTTGACAAAGTTTGGAAGAAAAGCTGCAGGACAAGTTTTCAGCTTTTCTTGCAACATTGTGGAGCCATAAAAAGCGGTCTTAGAAGAGCACATTCGCCCGCGGAAGGGAGACTTACAAGTTACGTCGCGCACAATGTATGCCGAGGTGTCATTCCATGGACCTGTAGGAGAGGCGGGGCGTTGCAAATTTCCGTCGCACAGCATGCCGGAGAGAATATGTGTATCGCGGGTGTGAGGAACCCACCGGTTTTCTTACAGTAGTTGTACGACTACATGGTGAAGTCGTCGACATCCACCAAAAATTATGAAAATCTACACTTACTTGCCCACATCCTTCCCTCCTTCCAACTTCAACACTTTTCCTTTTGTTCCCCTACGGGTAATACGCAAGACCGGCCTCCCGATAGGGGGGCGGGCGAAGCACCCTCGTACATATGTAGCCCTGTTCGTGCCCTGACCCCCGCCTGTTGCGCTAGGATCGAAATTTCCTCGAAAGGCTCATCCAGTACATTTTACCATCCGTGCGAAGGGATCTTTACTTCTAAATTTACTGTCTCCTCATTGGTTGGAGATGCGCGTGCGCGCGCTCGCTCGGTGAACCTCTTTTTGGTTCTATTCACAAAGCTCTCCTGGGGTGGGGAAACCCCGGCGCTGTAGCTACATTTCTCCGCACGCCGCGCACGAGGTGCGCGTGCTGTGAAGGACGGACAGGGCGGCCGTGCTACCTTATCGACACGTAGCCTCTAGAGAGAGCATTGCATAGCGTGGCTTCCACCGTTGGCCACCACAGCAGCGGTCAGTCGTTGATGCAAGGAGGTGAGCGGCATGCTGCCGAGCACGCGCTCTGCTGGCGGCGCGCATCATGATGCTGATCATGATGCAGGCGCGGATGACTGCGTGGATGGTGCGGCTGGTCGCCAGCACAAGCCGTTGTCGCACCCCTTGCCCGCAGCCCCATGCGCGAACACTGGAGAGAGTTCCAACTTCTTGCAGCAAAACCCTCATCGAGAACGGACAGCGACCTCTTCCGGTAGCGAGCCGTCGGGCAATTCCCATCTGTCGGTCAGCGGCGCGCCTGGCGGTGTAGCCACCGTCGCGAACACATTTCCTTGCGACACTCCTGCGGCTATCGGAGCGGCTCGCAGAAGTGTGAGTGGACGTGAATCACCACCAGCGAAACGCCACGCGTCGCAAAGCCCATCATCCCGGCGGAGTTTGGGACGAGATGCAAGAAATTCATGCGAGGGCTTCGGGGCCGGTGAACGTCGCGGCAGGGTGCTGCACTCGTTCCTTGCTACAGCTGTGCAGATGTCCCAAGCATCGGAGGCCTTGGGGACGCCAGGGGAGCTATCAGGTGATGGTTTCGAATTCGCGGAACCACATACGCCCCTGTCGTCTGCCATTGGGGTACATACGGGACCGGGATACTGCTCTACCGGTACGCACGGGCCGAGTGCAC